TTAAGTTAGTAATTAAGTGTCTCCTTTGTTACGCGAAAGAAAAGTTTAGCTCCACTGTGAATCAACAATCGGTGTTGTTTGTTCCCTTTTGTTTAATTAAAGTGAGGAACAAGGAGGTCGGAATCAACGAACCTTTCCTGTATATATGTTCATACAGTAAAATAAAGCACGTCTTATTGTTTTATATTCCTGTCTCTTTGTGAGAATTCATCCATCACCACGTGCTCACCACAACAGTCTATGAGAATCCGAACTTTAACAAAAATTGGTCGTCGATGTCGTCATACTTATTCAATAATTGTTATCATCTACTACCTGAGAGAATCTCCACTTACACTTTCTTGATGGCAAAAACAACGCATTCCTGTAACCTGCTGACCTCTTGGCTGAGCGATATTGTGCTTATAGCGTAATTAACGGCTGAAGAGTTAATTGCCGTTTAGTTCTTCCTGAGATAAGAAGTTGCTGGCCAAACCCTAAGGATAATTGTTGCCAGTTCCTCAATTGATACTTTGTGCCTTTGAAATGGATTAAACTATTGACTCGGACCCAAACTGCCTCTGAATTGGAATAAATTTGTTGTCAAAACCCCAAATAATTCTAGATTCCATTGACACCAAATCTACCCCTGGGAAAGGACATTTACCTCACTGACTAGTTGGATATACATTGTCCAGAACTGTCCTGCATAAAGACTACAACCAGATCCTTCAACTGCAGATATTTATCGCCACACAAACCTCATGTAAACTCTCTCAAAACCCTTTAGTCTATAAGCCTGTTAAAGCTAATGTTTAACAAAATTGTAAATTTTATCATGTTTTCTTTGAAATTAAATCGTTATTAGTTGTTAAACTGGCATCCAAGTGATTCTCTTCTGGTACGCTGTCTCTCAATCCATCTCCATCTGGAATCCGATCACCTGCGTGAGCTATGTCAAAATCTGGATCAACATCCTGTCTCGGCTTCTGTGTCAAACAAGACATGGTGATCCCAACAAGGCACTAAAGAGGTGCCTTGTTGGGATCACCATGTCCGGTCACAGTCAAATCCACTCTCTGTAGATTACACTTATGAGTTCTCTGAATTCTGATTCCTGAATAATCATCTGTTTTCACATGAGAATGGATTAAAACTTATACTGGGCTCCTGTGTGATTTTGGAATTCAATTCAAAAGTAATAACAATCCATGACACCTTTTTTAACAGTGTTGTTTCCGTAACAAACTTCACGAATGTTTTCAACCTCAACTGAGGTCTACATCAGGTGGTGACTAAACAATGTCTCCCCTTGACTGATGGAACGATGACGCCCGAGATGTAAATAATTGTGCGTATCATGTTTCACCCCTCCGCTTGTCCCAGTTCAAATTCTTCAAACAAGTACCTCCATGCCTGCGCGATCGTTTCTCTGTCTTTAAAGTTGATGCAGGTGACCCCAATGTTGGCTTTATAAATCTCCCAGGCCCCAGGTGACGGATGTGATCAATACGAAACGCCTGTCTGATTACTCTGGCGTTTTGGAAGTCCGCCCAGATTTCAGGGTCGGTAACGTAGGCTGACAAGGCGGTGGTGTGCCTGTTATTTTTAATATCTGATTGATGTTCCCGTAACCGTTTTTGTGTTGAGCGGATGGTGGAGCCAATGTAAACTAAGTCTCTATGGAATCTATCGTCCCTGATGGGAATGGAGTATACCCCTGGGGCTCTGTTGAGATCTATCGCGTCCTTGGCATTGTGCAGCAGGTCGTAAATAGTGCCGGTTCTCCTGTACACGATCCTCGTGCGATTATGGCAAGCAATCTCCCTGTATAGGGGGTCTAAATGTTGGTTGAACCGGACAATTGCATGTCTATCATTCTTAACGGGGGCTGGTGGCCACCGTCCGGCGTAGGCAGGGGGCTGCCACTGTGGCATGGGAGACGGTCGGTGCAGGCATGGGCTAAACCGCAAATCATGCCTTTACTGTAGCCATGCTCAACAGCAATTTTTTCTATGTGGCGGAGCTCTAACCAGGTGTCGCGAGCATTTGTGTGGTGTGTGGTGCGTGTGGCTTTGCTTTTCCTATTGCTATTCATCTTTACTCCTTTTTAATCGCATTTATTGGTTTTGGGAGTCCAGAGGACTGTTCCATGAAGCCCAATATGGTTTCCGGTGCCAGCGTGGAGCTGTTGACGCACTGATGGACTTAGTTGGGCACATCAAACATCTGCTACGAAGCTACAAGTTTGTCTTCGGCCTCAGCCTAGATCTGAGGAATGCATTCAATTCGGCCTGGTGGCCGCAAATTTTACGCAGATTAGGTGAGTGCAATTGTCCGGCTAACTTATTCCATCTTGCTGCTAATTACTTTGAGGATAGAGAAGCAATTATCTCTCTGGGGCATCTTCAATTTACACGTAAGCTACAACGTGGCTGTCCACAGGGGTCTGTTTGTGGGCCCCTGTTCTGGGATATTTTATTCGATAACTTCTTCCGTACCGACTTCGGCTACCAATGTCGTGTCTTTGCATACGCAGACGATGCCTTTGTGGTTTTCCCTGCCCCATCAAGAAACTACATAGAAAGGGCAGCCACTGACATTCTTAAAAAAGTGTATAACTGGGGTGTGAGAAATAAACTCAGTTTTAACATGACAAAGACTAAGGGAATCGTTTTCTCCTCTCCGGGCGCCCCTGACCTTTACAGGCGTGTGCCTTGTATCAGGTTTCGTAATGAGTCAATAAAAGTTGTAAGTCATCTCACTTTCCTTGGGGTTGTGATTGATCATAAACTCTCCTGGAAACAGCATATAAAACACATTACTAGTCGAAGTAACTTGACCTTTAATGGACTTTTAAGGGTTGCCAGATGCAAGTGGGGCCTCGGTTTTGAGGCAGCCAATGCCATATATGATTGCCTGTTTTTACCAACTATCTCATATGCATCTGCTGTTTGGAGCGCTGCTGCCTCTCAATCTCATAACCATCGGCGTCTGAGGTCTGCACAGCGGATTGCCTTATTACGACTTACCAGGTGCTATTCCACTGTTTCAAATGCAGCCCTCCCTGTGGTGGCTGGGAAGCTCCCCATCCTCCAATTTCTCCAATTTAATAGCAAACGTTTCTGTATCTCTAGAGGCAGGGATGTTGATATTAACGGAACCATCTTTAATGCCACCATGGTTGAATTAGACAGGCCTGTATCTACACTCCCACATCCTGCCTTAAGGAAGGGACTCTCTCCTCGTGTTACTTCTACAGAGATTGAAGCTTTTACAGATGGATCCAAGTCAACGGACGGCACGGCAAGTGCCTTTGTGATCTTTCAGGCCGGTGAGGAGGTATACAATGATTCCTTTGCTCTACACCCGGAATGCTCTGTCTTCCAAGCTGAGATCTTCGCTGTATTGATGGCAATCAACTGGTGCAACTCTAACATTGTGAACAAACTGATAAACATCTTCACAGACAGTGCTGCGACTGTTGCTGTTTTGGGGAATAAGGATAATACTCACCCTGTTGCGAACGACATCTTCGCTGCAGCTTCTACGTCTCTTAACAAGTATGCCATCAATTGGATCAAAGGACACAGCGGCATTTCAGGTAATGAAAGGGCTGACTTTCTGGCGCGAAACGTAACGACTAATCCTGATACTCCTCCCGCCTACAATCTCATTCCTAAGTCAAGACTAAAATACCTTCTCTGGGACAATGCTTTGGAAACCTGGCAAATGGATTGGGACGAGATCCCACAACAACATATAACAAGACGTTTTATCCCAAAGGTGAAGGAACGTGTTCACAGCAAATGGATTCAGCCCACACATGATTTAGCCCAATTTTTGACAGAACACGGGCGCTTTCGTGTTTACCTGAAAAGGTTTCACCACTCTAATTCTGACTGCTGTCAGCTGTGTGGGGTGCGGGACGGTGTCATGCACTATTTATACAACTGCCCTATGCTGGATGACATCAGGTATCAGTGCATGCAGCATGCCAATAGGAACAATATTGACTGGCCAGTAAAGCCTGATTTTTTCTTAAAAAACAACAGCAACTTTAACTTGTTAAAGGAATTTGTTTCACTCTACTCTATTAGATGTGGGATCCGTTGACTTGGTCTCTTGTGATCTGATTCACTCTAGCCTTGATGCCAATGTATATTCACACCTTGCTCTGCTATAACAGCATGTAGACCTTCATGTACAGAAATGTTACTTTAGTTATAGTATAGACTACTTTTATTTTTATTCTTTTATTTTTTTAATCTTTTATATTTATTTATTTTATTTTATTTTACTTTCCCTTTTCTCTGCCATTATATTATTGTATCCCATCTATGACTAACAGCACGTATCTAAAATGTATTTTTCTGTATTTTTGCCTGGTTGTGCTCAGTGGTGCCAGACAATAAAGATTATTTTGATTGACTGACTGACTGACAATACACAAGAACGATTGTAACAACCCAGATAAATTTGTTTATAAACACCAGATGGTGAGCATCTGGTAAAAAATGTGAATACACTGTTCACAAAAATTATTGCAAAATCACAAAATCTTTTGCCCATGCGTATAGGATGACCTAGGTTTTTGAAGCAGTGAAAAATTAAATTAATAAAAACCTCATATTATATGTGAGTAAATACAGTATTTTAAAAATTTCTATGTTTAAATTTTCAATAAACTTTTAAAAATATTTAATAATGCAGTTTTATCAATAAAAACTTATCATCATTATTAGTGATAATAAATATATGATATATATATATAATATGAAATAAACATTTATTTATATCAATGGCAAATTCAAAAGAATGTAAATTGTAATTTTAATACACATAAATATTAATAAAATACATTGATTTAAAATATTTAAGTTCACTTTTAAACTAGAGAAGTGAACTGTAATAGTAGAATATTTTATTAAATCTATGTAAATTCTGATCAAAGAAAATTAAAAATTCAATTAAATGCAATAACAAATTTATAAAACATGTAGAAAAAGTAAACTTCTTACTTATTTATATCCAAAGATGTTGATGCAGGTTGTAAAAATAATTTACAATGATAGGCAACTAATAAAGGCACATTATATATTTCATTATTTTCCAGTGTAGTCAAACGAATAAATGTTTCATGAAATGGATTTTTAGAATAATCATCTGGCACTGCTCCAACAGCTTCTAAAATGGATTTCTGACACATTATATGAACAGGTCGTGGTAAATGATTCTGAATCTAAAATTGTTAAATTGGAAATAAATTATTTTTATTAGAATATAACCACTCAAAAACTGGGTAAACTTGATACAAAGCTAAAACAAAACCAAATAACCAGCAGAAAAATGTTAGCACTTCCCAATTTTTCTGCTGGTTATTTGGTTTATTTGGTTTTGTTGTAGCTTTGTATGTTGATTAGTTTCATTGTGTAATTTTAATTTATATATTATGAAAATTTTTAGTGTAATTATTTTCATCATATTTCTAGATATTTTTTAATCATAAATTATAAACTATTGTAAATACTAACTTCTGCTAAATTGGTACTTATAATTATATATTTGTACAAATTAATATTTATGGGAAACTTAAGAACTTTAATTTGGCAAAATTAAATACACCAGTATAATGATAATTAATTAAAAAGCTGTTTGATGATGTTATTTTACACTTTTGATAAATACTTTTAATGTTTTTGACATATACAACAATATCTTTGTAAGGATGGCTTTTTAGAATATACAAAATATTTAGAACAGTTTCAATTTAAATTTTCATACACCAAGTAAAAACTAATCAGAACAACTGATTAGCATCTTTTATATAAAAATGTTTAGTTATTTATTCGTTACTTTTTAACAAGACTATCTCTTGTTTATAAAATCGTACTGCCTGCTGTGTTACCAGCTTAGAGGTATAAAGAAGTACATGTCAGGAGTTGTAATTTGGCACAGAGTATTAGGTGCCCAAATCATGTGCACATAAAAAACCCAGACTTGTTGGTACTCAGGAGACCGAGAACCAAGTCAAAATAAAGTACAAAATGGCAACTCTCTCTACAAACAGGCAAATCGAAGTTAGGTGGTGAGAGTACAATCTGCAGTCATTCTAGAAAGTGGACTCTGACCCTAGGACTGGACACGTAGTATTTTCTTTGTTAAATAAAATTTGTAATCTAATTTTGTAAATTTGGGAGTGCTTCATATATGACATTAAAACAGGGTTTTATGTTGTTACAAGTAGGTAACATTATCTAGTATAGTAAAATCATGGGACCATGGGCATAGCCAGGATGGGGCATGGGTGGGCACGCCCCCCCAGTTAACCTGGTGCCCCTCTCCAGAAAATTACAGCCGAAAAACTGTTGAGCAGATTTGCAAAAAGAAATAAAAAAGCTGAAGCTAATTTAATTGGGTGTAGTGTACCCACTGAAAGTCAAGACCAGGCATAGCCAACATACGGCCCTCTTAATGAATTTATGTGACCCACGATTTATCTTTGAATATTGGACTTAACTTCAAATAATTGCTCGAATGGATCCGTGATAATCCCTTATACCCTCACAATGTGAAGTGATGGTAAAGTTGAGAAATTCTGACCCTATAAAAAAAAGGTCAATGGCTTTGTGTGCCCAATGTGAAAAGTATATCTGTAATCTCTATATACAGTTTAGTCTGTATAAGGTGACACCACAATAGGATCTCACATCACCTGAAAATCTTGATAGGACCACCTCTGGTTTGGCCAGTGAAAAAAGTTTTCTTTCCAATTCGGTCTGGGGGGAAAAAACTGTTGGTCACCCCTGGTCTAGATCTAGATTAATTTAAAGACAGTGAACTATATTAAAGAATGGTAAAAAAGTAATTAATTGGTTAATTTTTGTTTAAGGTATTGCTAAAGTTTTATATTAATGTTACGAGAACGTATGATAAAAGAAGTTTCATATTATATGTGTGTTAAGTTATTGTCAATTCCTATGGAAATTTTATTTTAATGAACAATAATTTGAAATACAGTAGAGCCTCGATTATCCGACTCCCGATTAACCGACACCTCAGTTGACCGACCGTCCTAGTCGGCAAATTTCAAATGTCCGCTAGTGATGTGGCGCTACAATATTTGGCTAGGTCTTGGCTACTTTAATATTATTTTTACGTGTTTTAGCTGGCAACACTCATTCGACCATGAAAGGGAGCCAGTATTTAAACGAGGCTTAATTTTCTAATTTTTAACGATACAATAGTGACGATTATTATTTTAAAAAATTTTTGTTAGGCTTAACATCGATGAAAATTCAACGCGAAGTAGGTTAATAGCGATATACTAGTATACTAATTACAGGGGATATAATAATATACTACACTAATAATGGATTTTTTCATACTTTTCGGTTATCCGACTTTTCAATTATCCGACCAACCCCAGTCCTCAATTGAGTTGGATAATCGAGGCTCTACTATAATTCAATTTTGTGTCAGGCTGGCCTCTACTAGGTCCCCTCCATAACAAAACTCTAGCTTCGCCAATGCATGGAACCGATAAAAATTTGGTTTTGTATTAGGGTTGTCATTACATCCGATGATGTTATAATCAGGTTAAACTGTATATTGTTTGTGTAAAATAAAAAAATAATTTCAGACAATACAATAGCCATGATTATTTTTTTCAAAAACCAGAAATTTTCATTATGCATCGATGAAAATTCAACCCGGGCCAACACGCAATGGAAAGAAATTTCGAAATTGGATAGGTTAATTTCATCGAAAATGCATCATGGATGACCTTGTGGTCACGACTGGCAAAGTTTGAACGATTGCGCCCAAAAGCAGCAATACCAAAGAAGATTGGAGAATGAGAACAAGACCTGCCTTGAGCATCAAAGTGATTCTGCTTAGTAGTGAGTCTCCGAGACATAGTCTTGTCCCAAATACGGTTTTGCCGTTTGACTTGTTTATTATTAAATATAATGTTAAATTCAAAATTTATTCACTTTAAATTTCTATCAATATTTCATAATTAAATTTTTAATTACTATTTAAGTAAATGAAATTATATAAAATTAAAGAATAAACAGAATGTTTACCTGTAGTGGTGATGAAACAGTTATAATTTTCTGACCATGATCTGCACTCATATCAATCACTATATAGTATCTAGTTTTATTCTAGAATTTAAAAAAAAAATAAAAATAAAAATATTCCTCATTTATATTGTTTACATTGTAACAAAAGCTATAATTATTTAAACCTATTTTACTATATAGAATATTTAATGATTAATCAGAATTATCATACATCCAGACCATTACTATATGAGTCATTAATTAACCATGAAGAATGAAAGTGCATTGACTGTGTATTAAATCAAACAAATCTAATAATTATTAGACAAATAATCAGATGATTAAATGACAGAATTCAAAAATGATAAATAATTTCTATCATAATCTTTCATACAGAATATTATGTAAATCTACACATCATAACTTTTGTTACATAAAGTAGAATCAAATGGAAACCAATAATTTATCATTTTTGAATTCTGTCATTTGGAATCCAAATGGAAACCATAATTTATTGGTTTCCAATGGAAATTGATATAATTGGTTTTGGCATAAACATATGCCAGAATCAATTATATCAGTTTTCTATGTAGTATTCCATGTTATAAAATATAATATTGCCTGTATATTCCACTGTTTATACCAACATAGGTAATGCCATTATTTCAGAAGGCTTCAATCATGGCAACTCTGCTACAGACATGTATGAAGAAGAAACTGTCATATGTCATGAAATTTTTGAATGATGATATGACTAAATCTGCTCAAATTCATAAGAGAATATCTGCAGTTTATGGCATGTCTGTTTATATAAGAGTCGAGTGTAAAAGTAAATGCAAAAGTTCAACAATAATATCAAAAGTTTAAGTGAAGCTCATTAGCCAATGTAGCCTAATGATGTGGAAAAGTTCATAAATAAACAAAACAGTAAATGACAGAAAATTATACAGGAGAACAGATGCACAATGCTCCAAGATTTTGCTTCTAAACTGAATGTATAGTTCTATACATAGAACCATAAACAAAAACTTGATTGCATAAAGTTGGTTAAAAACCCGAAATTTGAGAATATTTACGGATCAATCAGAACTATCATGTAGTCATTTGCCAAGACTTACTTATTCACTATAAAAGAGAAGGTAAAGCATTTTTTAATAGGATAGCAATTAGAATAGTCCATTCTGTCAGTCAGAATCAAAGAGAAACAGTAGGGAGTGATGGCACCATTCTCTCTCAAATTAAAGAAGTTTTAATATACAGATCTACCAAGATAGTTATGCATATTATTATCTGACATAATAATGGAGCAGTTTTGGCTAATTTTGATTCTCCTTGGCCAAATTGGAGTGACAAATGTTTATAGTTTGCCAGAGCATAAATTCAAATATTGCTTCATGCTTAGATATTTGTAATTGCCAGATTTTAATAGAAATAGTGTAGCATTACATATTAATTACAAATTTAAATTATACAATTAAAATTAAATTCTAAATTATTTGTAGCAACTTTTTGCAGTATTGTCTTAAATCTAAAAACAAAAAAAGTTAAGAAATTTTTATACTTAAAAAGTTTCATTCAATACAATAATGCTTGTTGTCAGAGAAAAAGTACCGGGCAATAAAGGTTTAGTAAGTGCAATTTTATCAGAATACCAGTATTCAGATTAGAAAATTTTTGTTTTAGAAAAAGTAATTTGCAACTACTCAAAAACTGTATTTTGAAGTCTGACTTTATCCAGCATACTTACCAGACAGCTCCCAATGATTTCTAGTTTTTGGTCTGCTGTAGGATGTGTTGGCTGAATGACACTTGTAAGCAGATAAAGAGATTCAGCAAGAAACAATCAAATAGTTACATAAACAATCAAAAAGAGTATTTCTCAGAGAAACTGAGTTATTAATTAAACATTGGAAAAAGTGTGTTTGGTCAAGAGGAAAAGATTATGTTAAAGAAATAATGTTTTGTAATCTTGTTTTGATTGTGGGGAAATAAAATTATTTCACTTTTTCATCTGAACCTGCCTTATACATTTCCTTTTGATATAATAAAAAGTAATTGTTAAATTTATTTACTTATTTACAGCAATTAGTAAGACTATATCAATTTGGCAAAATCCAAGCAAACATCAAAGTTTTATATATATATAGAGTATTTTACATTGTACAAAATTCTAGACATATTAGGTCTTTGATGTTTTTTGTAGAAGTGATGAATCTGTAAAAAAATTGCTTTTGAGATATTAAGAGTCTACAAAAGAGAGGAAAAAACATGAAGAATTATGAGAGTTAAAATTTAAGATAAATAAGTTAAAATAAAACAGAAAATAAGATCATTAAAANTTCTAATTCTTGTTCTTCCTTTCCTCTTCTAGTTATAAGTAGTTTTAAGTTAGTAATTAAGTGTCTCCTTTGTTACGCGAAAGAAAAGTTTAGCTCCACTGTGAATCAACAATCGGTGTTGTTTGTTCCCTTTTGTTTAATTAAAGTGAGGAACAAGGAGGTCGGAATCAACGAACCTTTCCTGTATATATGTTCATACAGTAAAATAAAGCACGTCTTATTGTTTTATATTCCTGTCTCTTTGTGAGAATTCATCCATCACCACGTGCTCACCACAACAGTCTATGAGAATCCGAACTTTAACAAAAATTGGTCGTCGATGTCGTCATACTTATTCAATAATTGTTATCATCTACTACCTGAGAGAATCTCCACTTACACTTTCTTGATGGCAAAAACAACGCATTCCTGTAACCTGCTGACCTCTTGGCTGAGCGATATTGTGCTTATAGCGTAATTAACGGCTGAAGAGTTAATTGCCGTTTAGTTCTTCCTGAGATAAGAAGTTGCTGGCCAAACCCTAAGGATAATTGTTGCCAGTTCCTCAATTGATACTTTGTGCCTTTGAAATGGATTAAACTATTGACTCGGACCCAAACTGCCTCTGAATTGGAATAAATTTGTTGTCAAAACCCCAAATAATTCTAGATTCCATTGACACCAAATCTACCCCTGGGAAAGGACATTTACCTCACTGACTAGTTGGATATACATTGTCCAGAACTGTCCTGCATAAAGACTACAACCAGATCCTTCAACTGCAGATATTTATCGCCACACAAACCTCATGTAAACTCTCTCAAAACCCTTTAGTCTATAAGCCTGTTAAAGCTAATGTTTAACAAAATTGTAAATTTTATCATGTTTTCTTTGAAATTAAATCGTTATTAGTTGTTAAACTGGCATCCAAGTGATTCTCTTCTGGTACGCTGTCTCTCAATCCATCTCCATCTGGAATCCGATCACCTGCGTGAGCTATGTCAAAATCTGGATCAACATCCTGTCTCGGCTTCTGTGTCAAACAAGACATGGTGATCCCAACAAGGCACTAAAGAGGTGCCTTGTTGGGATCACCATGTCCGGTCACAGTCAAATCCACTCTCTGTAGATTACACTTATGAGTTCTCTGAATTCTGATTCCTGAATAATCATCTGTTTTCACATGAGAATGGATTAAAACTTATACTGGGCTCCTGTGTGATTTTGGAATTCAATTCAAAAGTAATAACAATCCATGACACCTTTTTTAACAGTGTTGTTTCCGTAACAAACTTCACGAATGTTTTCAACCTCAACTGAGGTCTACATCAGGTGGTGACTAAACAATGTCTCCCCTTGACTGATGGAACGATGACGCCCGAGATGTAAATAATTGTGCGTATCATGTTTCACCCCTCCGCTTGTCCCAGTTCAAATTCTTCAAACAAGTACCTCCATGCCTGCGCGATCGTTTCTCTGTCTTTAAAGTTGATGCAGGTGACCCCAATGTTGGCTTTATAAATCTCCCAGGCCCCAGGTGACGGATGTGATCAATACGAAACGCCTGTCTGATTACTCTGGCGTTTTGGAAGTCCGCCCAGATTTCAGGGTCGGTAACGTAGGCTGACAAGGCGGTGGTGTGCCTGTTATTTTTAATATCTGATTGATGTTCCCGTAACCGTTTTTGTGTTGAGCGGATGGTGGAGCCAATGTAAACTAAGTCTCTATGGAATCTATCGTCCCTGATGGGAATGGAGTATACCCCTGGGGCTCTGTTGAGATCTATCGCGTCCTTGGCATTGTGCAGCAGGTCGTAAATAGTGCCGGTTCTCCTGTACACGATCCTCGTGCGATTATGGCAAGCAATCTCCCTGTATAGGGGGTCTAAATGTTGGTTGAACCGGACAATTGCATGTCTATCATTCTTAACGGGGGCTGGTGGCCACCGTCCGGCGTAGGCAGGGGGCTGCCACTGTGGCATGGGAGACGGTCGGTGCAGGCATGGGCTAAACCGCAAATCATGCCTTTACTGTAGCCATGCTCAACAGCAATTTTTTCTATGTGGCGGAGCTCTAACCAGGTGTCGCGAGCATTTGTGTGGTGTGTGGTGCGTGTGGCTTTGCTTTTCCTATTGCTATTCATCTTTACTCCTTTTTAATCGCATTTATTGGTTTTGGGAGTCCAGAGGACTGTTCCATGAAGCCCAATATGGTTTCCGGTGCCAGCGTGGAGCTGTTGACGCACTGATGGACTTAGTTGGGCACATCAAACATCTGCTACAAAGCTACAAGTTTGTCTTCGGCCTCAGCCTAGATCTGAGGAATGCATTCAATTCGGCCTGGTGGCCGCAAATTTTACGCAGATTAGGTGAGTGCAATTGTCCGGCTAACTTGTTCCATCTTGCTGCTAATTACTTTGAAGATAGAGAAGCAATTATCTCTCTGGGGCATCTTCAATTTACACGTAAGCTACAACGTGGCTGTCCACAGGGGTCTGTTTGTGGGCCCCTGTTCTGGGATATTTTATTCGATAACTTCTTCCGTACCGACTTCGGCTACCAATGTCGTGTCTTTGCATACGCAGACGATGCCTTTGTGGTTTTCCCTGCTCCATCAAGAAACTACATAGAAAGGGCAGCCACTGACATTCTTAAAAAAGTGTATAACTGGGGTGTGAGAAATAAACTCAGTTTTAACATGACAAAGACTAAGGGAATCGTTTTCTCCTCTCCGGGCGCCCCTGACCTTTACAGGCGTGTGCCTTGTATCAGGTTTCGTAATGAGTCAATAAAAGTTGTAAGTCATCTCACTTTCCTTGGGGTTGTGATTGATCATAAACTCTCCTGGAAACAGCATATAAAACACATTACTAGTCGAAGTAACTTGACCTTTAATGGACTTTTAAGGGTTGCCAGATGCAAGTGGGGCCTCGGNATTAGGTCTTTGATGTTTTTTGTAGAAGTGATGAATCTGTAAAAAAATTGCTTTTGAGATATTAAGAGTCTACAAAAGAGAGGAAAAAACATGAAGAATTATGAGAGTTAAAATTTAAGATAAATAAGTTAAAATAAAACAGAAAATAAGATCATTAAAAAATTTATAAGTGAGTTATTACTTATAAATTTATATTTTTCATTTGTGTAAATATTTTTCTTATTAATTTCTAATATAAAAAATTACTACAGAGAAATGGAGTTTCAAATCAAATAAAAAAAATAATAAATAATAAACTTAAAAATTAAAAATAAATAAAAAATCTAATGTTTTTAAACATTTTACACTAAAGAAATAAAAAATTAAATATTAGCAGTCATCAGAGTCACAACTAAACATTTGTAAAATATCCGACTTTGATAAATAACACCAACAAAACCTTCAAAATTAAACCAGCAAATATATTTTAATATAAATATGCTATGACAAGCACTTGGTAAAGATTTGGAATATTCAGACTTTATACAGTCGACCCCCTTATAACACGGTAGATACATTCCGTTCTTTATGAAATTGATGTTCTACGAGTCCTTAAATACATGAGCCAATCGCAGCCCAGCACGTATGCAGTTTACAGACTACGGCTGTTTGAAAGGTTTTCTTCCATAAAATTAATCGATTCTGGACTAATTCAACTCAACACTTCCAAAATATGTATAATTTTTTGAGAATAATCCATATAAACTATGCTATAAACAAAAAATTGTAGGATTACTTACCGAGTGTGCACCGTTTGATGATGCCATTGCTTAAGCTTGTTTTCGTTGTGGAGCGGTGCATCTAATGGCACTCGCATGCTTCCTGATAAATTATTTTTCTGCGAAAACTTTGCTGAACTTTGGAGACATCATTAATATAAATATAATTTTTATGGCCGTTAAATAATAAATGGNGAGCGGTGCATCTAATGGCACTCGCATGCTTCCTGATAAATTATTTTTCTGCGAAAACTTTGCTGAACTTTGGAGACATCATTAATATAAATATAATTTTTATGGCCGTTAAATAATAAATGGTTTTTAGTAGGTCCGCTGCTCGTTTAAACTCAACGATTTGTGCAATATCTGCTATTGGTCTAGATTGGACCAATCTCGTCGCGACACGAGTCAGCGATGACGTTTTACTGAATTATATGGCTCTCTTTAGCGTGTTTATACGAATACGGTCGCAATTTTTTCACCGTCATATAGGAAACCGAACTATATAAACCTGTTTTATAGGGGTCTACTGTATTGTCTTTTGTTTTTTTTTTATTTGCCATCCAGTTACTTATTATTATATTACAATGTTAAATTTAAATTAAATTTATTTATTCTGTTTTGTTTAAAAAAGTAAAATAAACATAATCATATTTTTTTTTGTATAACTTTAAAGATTATGTATTTTTCAAATATAAACTTTTTATGTTTCTATGGACAAACTACATTTTAAGTTTTTATATTAGTAGTTGATTTTAAAATGAAAAAAATCAATTACAACTCTAAAATAATAATAAATATTGATAATTGATTAAGTTAAATGTATAATTGTTTCTAGATTAATAATGAGCAATTATTTATTGTGACATTGTCACAATGCCAGGCTGCAATTTTTAATCATATTTTTATGATTAAAAATCATAAGATTATGCTCTCCACCTCAAATTATTAGTAGTGGCTGCCCCTGTACGTAATACTTTTCATTTAACAATAGAGTTGTGCAGATCATCTATTAACTGCTTTCAGGGAAAAAGCATTTTAAACTGAAATAACATGACTTTCAGTTTGCATCAGAAGTTTGTATATACTGGTAGTTAATCTGGGCCTCTTGCCCCTAAGGTTTCCATATCTGGTCTTGAATTTCATCTATCTATCTTCATTCTCTAGATTAAGGAAAGAAAGACGAATGGATGGATAACAGTGAAAATTTATAAGTATACAATTTTTCAAATTGCAGCCCAATAATTGAAATTACTATGATAATATTTTTCACTATCAAAAATTTTTTTCATTTTATATTGTTTACATAATATAGTTTTTATCATTGTTAAAATACAAGACACCTGATGAGAACTCTGAGATGATGTTTAATATAGAACTATTGGTCTGTTAACAGTAGTTGATCATGTCAACAACTAGCAACTATTAATACACAATAGTTGCAATTAAAAAATAATAATAATTCTTACCTTTGTTGGTTGAAGGGCATACATTATACTTCCTGTTCTTTGAGGCATCAAACACTGAAGTTTATCAAATCCTTTGATCTAATAAAACATAAAATTTTTAAGCACAGAACAGTATGTATTTTATAACAAAATTAAGTTAAAATTATACAATTTTTTATTACTTTAAAAGAAAGTAATAAAACATACTTAATATACATAGTGCATACAAATTATTGGGCTATTTTGTTACATCATAGGCAAGTTGAAAATGTCCTAAGGATCATAAAATTTTCAATTACACACTAGTAATCAATAGGAATTTTATGATTTAACAAAATTCCTAGTGATAACTGTAGAGTCAGTCCAAACTGATTTTATGAATTAGTTTGGAATGGCCCTAGTGCTAATGCCATCAGATATCTGGACATGCTAGAAACTGGTTAACCCATTTACCCTGCCATGGTAAGTTGTACTTTACTTTTCAAAACAATGATCCAAACTGCAGTCACTCAAAGTCACTCTATGTATTTTATTCTAAACATTCACTAAATATCAAATTTTTATCATAGTGATAGAAAAAAATCACATATATTTATTACTTTATGTAGTTTTTGGCAGAATAGTGTATAATCATTCAGAGTAAAAGTTACTTACAAAAAAAATGTTAAATTATGACCTAAATTTTTGTTATAAATTACTTTACTTTAACAAAAATAAAATTCCTCAATTTCGTTATTTGAGTACATGATGATATGACATGATTTATACATATTTATCTACTTTTCATGAACAATATCACTTTATACGAAACAGTCCATATATACTAGTTTTCTGTCTCTCTTCAATAAACTCTCTTAGGTTAGTAAGACGTTTCATTTTAGGCAGTAAGCAGAAAATACCAAAACTATAGAACAATAAAACACACTACACAAAGAAAATCGATTAGTGAATGTGTTTTATTTGTTTGAGAAATACGTAAATAAAATAAAACTAAAATAAGAAAATAATAAATAACTATATATATACAGGGTGTATCAGAATGATGTTTTAAAACTTTGGGGGATTGTAGAGGATGAAATTTTGAGCGTTTTGATATAAGGAACCTATAGCCAGAAATTTGAACTAAAGTGTCACAGCAGTAGGAAGTGCTTGACCGCCCTTCACTTTGGTAGCTACCCTTCTGTTAATTGACATCATATTATTGCTGTGGTTGGAAGACTGTAAATACACAACTACAGTGGTCTAATTGAGCCTGTGTTACAGGACATTGTGTAATTAGTGCTTGCCATTCTTCAGGTTACCCCTTGCATCCACTGGCACTGTGCTGTAAACGCACAACTAGTCAACATGAGTCCCTTGTGTACGCAACACCAGTAGGAACAATTCATGAGCTTACGGAGTGCATCTTTACAGCATTTAATACCATTAGAAGGGAGCATGGCATCTTACAGAGAGACCAAAACATGGTTTGTCATTGCACATTATGTAACGAAGTTGGTGGTCGTCACATTGAACATTTACTCTAAAGTAGTGCAGCCACTGATTCGATGTTCAGTTTGATTATGCTCTACTGTTTTGTCAATAAAACTTGTCATAAATACTGTATTCTGCTGTTTCATTCAGCATACCAACTGCATAGAATATGCAAAGTGCTGTAGAAACTTTATATCACATTTCCGGCTATAGGTTCCTTATATCAAAATGTTCAAAATTTCATCCTCTACAATCACCCAAATTTTTAAAATGTCATTCTGATACACCCTGTATATATGAGGACTATTTTTTAAATAAGGTCCATTTGTGAATGAGAGTGAGAATGACATGCGATTGCCGCAGTGAGTATGTGCATCTGCTCCAAGCATGCTTTGCACATGTTTAGACACCATTTGCAGCTGTATCATCTGTCTGTGTGCTGAGCTGTAAAAGTTTATAATGTTTAAGAAAATTGAGCCACCCGCTGACTGTGAGATACGATCTGTTACTTGATTCTTGAGTGCAAGAAACTTGGTAGCAGTGGAAATTCACCGTCAGATTTGTGAAGTTTATGATAATAATGCTATGAGTGATAGCAAAGTTCGAAAGTGGGTGAGAATGTTCATGGACCGGTGGGTTAATGTGCATTATGAGCCACACCCTGGCCAACCTTCTCTGATTTCTAAAGATTTGGTTTGTGATGTGGATAACAAAATTCGAGAGGACTGACGATTCACGATTTCAATGTTATCAATTGAATTTCCACAGGTTTCAAGATCAGTTTTGTATATCATTGTTTTGGAGAAACTGAATTATCGAAAATTGTGTTCTTGGTAGGTTCCATGACTACTTTCTGACAATCACAAAACAAAAAGATTGGTCAGTGCTTTATCATTTTTGACTGATATGATCAGTCAAAAATGGGTGTCTCACATGACTCCTGAGTCCAAGCAACAGTCAATGGAATGGCGACACACATCTTCGCCAACCAAAGTGAAAGCCAAATAGTCCATTTCAGCAAGAAAAATCGTGACAACTGTCTTTTGGGACAGGAAAGAGATTTTGTTAGTGGATTTTATGCTGAGAGGCACAATAATGAATTCTGATGCATATTGTGTGATCTTGAGAAAATTCCAGTGTGCCATACAAAACAAACGGCATGGTCTACTGTCTTCCAGTGTGATGTTGCCCCATGACAATGCGAGGCCACATGTTTCTGCACAAATACAAGGTCTAATCAGTTCTTTTGGATGAGAACAACTGGATCATCTACCTTACAGTCCAGACCTTGCATCCAGTAATTTTCACTTGTTTCAATACTTAAAGGACTTTTTTGGTGATCAACAATTCAATGACGATGAAGTGAAAACTGCAGTCATGGATTTGGCTTTTTCACAGGCGGCAGATTTCTTTGAAGTCTGAATTCAAAAAATTGTTGAGCGGTATGACAAATGTATGAACAAAAATGGAAATTATGTAGAAAAGTAGATAAAAGTATGTAGAATATGGGAAAAAATATATTTTAATGATATTAAAGTATTTTTCTTCTTATTAAAAAACGGACCTTATTTAAAAAATAGCCTTCGTATATATTATAGGCAATAAGCTGTAAATGTTGAAACTGTAAAACATCCCGTCATCATAGAAGGGTTCACAACTTGTGGATCACAAGGGACAGGAATTCATTTACCAAGAAGTTGGGCCTCAGCACATTGGCATATGGATGTCCAGGAGTACCTAAATGACACTTGCCAGATTGATGGATTAATCATATATACCAAAATGTGTGCTTTCTTCTAGTGGTGCTTTGTCAAAGACAAAGTGCCAAAATAAAATCATTTAAGACTTCATAATACAGTATATTGGCAGTATATCCAATAATATCAATAGTCTGTACAGGCATGCAATTTTCTTCTTTTCTGTAGCATAAACCTTTGACAGCTAATCTCCAAAATCTTTTGTGTGGGAAAGTATGAATTTGATATTTTTCTAATAACAGTCACTTTCTTTTGTGATCTCTACAGGCCAAAATAGTATCTTTCCAATTACAAAAATTTTTAGTTGCAAAACAATGCTCCCAATTTCCTGCACTTAAGTTAACTTTATGGCTTTTCAAAGCATCACAACAGAAACTGCAAAATACAATATATAGCTGTACTTTGTATTGTACTTCAAACAACTCTAATTTTGAATGCTTCAGAACTGAACACTAAATTTGACAAAAATATTCTTCAGAGTTCAAACAATGTACTTCATCTTTATGTAATAATATTTGCCTTAACTTTTAAACAAAAATAAAGTTAATCTTATCAAAATTCCAAGAGATTATTAGGTTCTTGTATTAGTATAGTACAGTAGAGCATCGATTATCCGAACCCCGATTAACCGTCACATCGGTTAACTGACCGTTCTAGTCGGCAAATTTCAAATGTCCGCTAGTGATGTGGCATTACAATATTTGGCTACATCTTGGCTACTTTAATATTATTTTTGTTAAATTTTTGCGTGTTTTAGCTGGCATCAATGGCTCGACCATTGAAGGTAGGCCAGTATTTAAACGAGACTTAATTTTCTAATTATGAGTGGTTGTTTGTTTCGTGAGCAATAAAATAATTTAAAAATAATTTTTTACGATACAATAGCAACGATTATTATTTTTAAAAAAATTTGTTAGGCTAAACATCAATGAAAATTCAATGCGAAGTTGGTTAATAGCGATATAATAATAAACTAACTACATGGAATATACTAATATCCTAATATACTATATTAATAATGTATTTTTTCCCTTCTTTTCAGTTATCCAATTTTTTCAGTTATCTGACCAACCTGAGTCCCCAATTGAGTCGGATAATCAATGCTCTAATGCAGTGGTTCTCAACAGGGGGTACATGTACCCCTAGGGGTACAATCGTACATCAAAGGGGTACATCTAACTTTCATTATAAAATGGCGTATGTTAATCAATTTGCTGTAAATTATTAACAAGAAACGACAAAAACTTGCTTTAAAATATCCCAGTATGAACACCGATTTCCCTTTTAACAGTCCAAACAACTTGTTTATCCACTTGATTTGTGCTGTTAGTGCCGAGTGAACCTGTAGTCTAGTAAAATTATGATTTAATCGAGAATTAATTTTAGAATAGAAAAATTTTTTTTTCTATTCTAAAATTATTGNAAAACGCCGTTCCTATCAAACCGAATATTTAAATTTTGGCTTTTATTTCTGCTGCAAGGAATCAAATCAATTGCCTTTATGTTTAATATGTGAGCAAACGTTTAGCAACAACTCAATGAAACCCTCTCTGATAAAAAGACATTTAGAAAATGCTCATTCCAATTTTAAAGATAAACCACTTAGTTATTTTGAAGAAAAAAAGAAAATTTATTTAAATAAGTCTAAATTAATGAAATCAACATATACGACCCCTGGCAAAGAATTATTACAAGCTTCATTGAAAGTTAGTTATCGTATTGCTCGGCAAGGTGAAGCTCATGCTATTGGTGAAAATTTAATAAAACCTTGTGTCATTGACATTTGTCAAACACTATTCGGTCCTAAAGAAGTGACAAATATAAAACAATTGCCACTTTCTAATGATACCGTAAAAAGGCGAATTGCACTTTGTGCAAACGATCTTCTTAATGAACTTCTGCGGAGAATCAAGTCGTCTGCCTATTTTACGTTACGGTTTGATGAAAGCACCGATGTAAGCGGATTGGCAGTACTTTTAGTTTTCGTGAAATATCAGTACAATGATGAGCTTTGCAAAGATTTGTTAATGTGTGACGACCTAAAAAATACAACTACGGGTTGTGATATTTTCAATAAAATTGATGATTTCATTCGAAGTAATGAAATATATTGGAAAAAGTGCATTGACATCTGCACTGATGAAGCTAAAGCTATGCAAGGTCCAATTTCTGGTGTAGTTGTAAGGATTAAAGATGTGGCACATCCATCTTGTTCAAGTAGCCACTGTATTCTGCACAGAGAAAATTTAGCGGTAAAAAACATTCCTCGGTCTTTAAATGAAATTTTTAAGGCACTAACAAATGTAGTTAACTTTGTAAAAAAAAGTGCATTAAATACTAGACTTTTGAGACAGATTTGTACTGAAATGGGTAGTGATTACGACTGTCTACTATTTTATACAGAAGTACGTTGGTTGAGCCGAGGAAAAGTATTGACGAGGTTATATGAATTACGTTCTGAAGTAATAGCATTTTTAAATGAATGCAAGAGTGAAGCTCAGAAGAAATCAACTAAGGAAAAAATACAACTACACATTGATTTTATGACTTCCGACTACACTTTACAAGGTGTAGCATATTTGTGTGACATATTTGATAAACTTAACAAATTAAATTTATCACTGCAAGGGAAAAATAATAATATTTTCACTGCCAATGACAAAATTTCTGCATTTAAGTTGAAAATTTCAATGTGGAAGAAAAGATGTAAGGCAGGAGAATTTGAAACTTTTGATAAATTGAGTTCTTATCTTTTAGAAAAGAAGATTCTCGTTGATACTGGTTTAAAAAAAGCTATAATTCAACATCTTGAGGATCTGTTGACTTCATTTAACAATTATTTTCCTGATGATAATGAAATTGAAAATTATATGTGGATAGTACATCCTTTTTCTACAAATAAAAAAAATTATAACTTGTCAGCAAAAGAAGAAGAGCAACTGATTGACATTTCTACTGACACGACATATAAAGAAATGTTTTCTACTGTATCTTTATCGTCATTTTGGGCTGGTCTAGTGAAAGCTTATCCAAACATAGCCGATAAAGCTATAAGAAAACTTTTACCATTTGTAACAACGTATTTGTGCGAATGTGGGNCTGCGGAGAATCAAGTCATCTGCCTATTTTACGTTACAGTTTGATGAAAGCACCGATGTAAGCGGATTGGCAGTACTTTTAGTTTTCGTGAAATATCAGTACAATGATGAGCTTT